ATATATATATATATATATATATATATATATATATATATATATACATATATACATACACACTAAAACAAATTCCAATGAGGGTCTTATGAAAATGACACTTTCATCTAATTTACAACAGACACAAATACGTATTGTACCTTTTAAGGACAAAAGAGCACGTATCTCTATAATATTATCCCACACTCCCCTGAACATGTGTCTTACAGTTTGATATTATAGATCACAGGTGTCAGTAACTATTTGTACAGTTTTTTTTTTGCTGCTCTGAACATGTTTGCTTTTCACAATCGTGTCTATTGCACAGCTGTTCACATTGTCCTGTTACCTGGCTTCTGTTTGCCTTTTTCTATTTCACCAAAATATTTCCCAGTCTTAGAGGTACCTATTTTTCTTCTTGTGTACGTCTTCACTTTCAAACATTTATCTTTTCCTATTATTTATATCTTCTTTGCATGTTTTTATGTCCTGTCTGATTGTTTTACAACTGTCACTACCAAATGTTCTCACTTTGGTAAATAAAAAAAAGACATTTTGTATCTTAATTAAAATTTAACTATGCAATGTATGTTTAATTTATATAGTTTTTTTTTAATGTTTGTATTAGATATGACATGTTGCTTGTATCCAAGATCTCTACCTTTTAGACCAATGATCAAATTGGATTTTCTTTAAATTTTAAAGGTTAATTTAATGTGACTGTTTTAGTAATTCCTCCTTTGATGCCAGGACACTAATTTGATTGATTTACATTTACAAAAATAAACAAAAAGATACATAAATATGTAGGAATCAATTTCATGGGCTTTGCTAGACCTTTAATATAAAATTCACCTTTAAACATAATGTGTTTTTTTAAAAAGGGGGCTGCTCTAGTGGCCTTTATTTAAATGTCTTTCTGAAAGGAAATGGGGCTGATAGAGAGAAGGAAAACATGCAGTGAAGATCCAAAGGCCGGAACTGGAATCCAGGTCAGCTACCTTGAGGACTGAGACTACTGGTGCACCCACATATGCAATAGTTGACCCCAATACAGTACTTAAGAACCTGAATGTTTGAAGGAAAGATATATTACCACTGTTTTTTAACCAAGCTATTTTACCTGCCAGTGTGTAGAAATATTTCCAAATGTGTGCTCCCTCCAGGTATGGCTGGAGAGCCTGAGTCAAGGCATTGGGAACGTTATTGAGGCAGGAGAAGAAGTTGAACAAAGCAACTATGAAGTCATCTCCTGCTTTGCAATTCCCCGTGGACATCTCTGAGTCAGATTCCTGGCAAAAATCTGAAAAAACAACAACAGCACAAGTCAACCTGATCACACACGTCTGCAACAAATCATAAATGTGTGGATATTGAAACGGACTTTGAGCTGATGAGATGCTGAAATTCTGGAGAACTTTACGAATAATAAAATCCACATAAAACATACACATAAACACCTAAACAGTAGACCATGCTGAGTTGTTTAAATTTTCATTCAACAAAATATCAAATCTATGCAGGTATGCCTAGAAGGACAGAGAGAGAAACATAAAGCTTCTTAATTTCTTTGAACAAAACGCCATCATCCACTAGGAAAATGTCAAGGCAGCCTTGCCTGACACATGTTAACAGAAAGGGTGTACAAAACACAGTGTGGGGTATGTTGGGGGAGGGGGGTCTGGGGGGGGGGGGGGGGGCACATCTGTGTTAGATAGAAAAAAATGAAAAAGAAACAGATTTCAAAGCCCCTGGCTGTGGGATCCATGGAACATGGAGACAGGAAGTGAAAAGGAAGAGGTTTTGACAGGGTGTCCTTGTGGGGGTTGCTGTCTGAGCTGGCTGAAGATGGAGGTGCGTGTGACTGTAAAACCCATATGGATGTCTATAAATGTGATTTGTGTGTTTCTGAGTGTGTGTGTGTGTGTGTGTTAGGTTGACAGGGAATGCTGAGGAAAGGCCCGCTGCTTCAGAGGTGGCAGACATCTAGCAGTCTGTCAGTCTGTAGTGTGGGAGATGACAACTATTTGTAGGAGACTATATGCAAGGCAGCAATCAATGACGGTGCACTGAGCAGTAATGGAGGGCCAAGGCTGGACTCTTTTAAAATGACATGGCAGAATTAGAAGCTGCACTGCAGCGACAGATCAGCCACCTGCATATTTAGGTATGAAGCACTGATATCACTTAAAGCCTACATGAAAACTGATTTGCAAACTGAAGTTCCTGCTCCTTTACAATCATCTCACTAACATGAACCCTAGGATATTGTAAAGAGACTCTGCACATTATGCAGCATTATGTGGATCAGACAGGCATCTTGTTCGCTGCCCGTCTGGTAATTGGTCCTTAAGGGGAGCGTGTTATGGATATCACTACTATGACTGCAGTGGGCCAAAGAAACAGGGTTGACTAACATTAATTTCCACTCTGAGTGCTGGAGAGCAAGGTAGGTTAACTAGGTGCCTTTTTAATAATGATCCCATTATGAAGCAGCAGATGACTTCAGAAAAACAGATGTCAGTGTGCTGGCACATCTCTGTGGAGTTTCCACAACTCCTCTAGCACACAATAACTCCAGTGTCTTTTGTTTTTTTTGTGTGGTTTTTTTAGCTGATTTCTCGCCCCCCCTTCTCTTCCCCCTTATCCTTTCTGTCTCTGTGCTTATTCATCCTTGATATGTAGCCAACAGAGGCACCTGTTTATCTTCCGGACAACCAGTCAAGCAGTCACAAGGGTCCTTTCCAGAAACCGCTGTAATTGGAAGCAGGCACACAATGGATAATAAAAAAGACTGTGCGTTTGTGTTTACCTGATGCAGTGTGACTCTCAGTTTTGAGAAGCTGTTAAATTGTAAAAGTACTGAGAGAGCCCCTTCACATCTGGCACAAATAACTACACTCACTGATCTGATTGTGTCCAGACAGCTCCACATACAGGTGTGAACTCACTTAAGCCTTCAATCTACCCTTGAACACACTGAGGAAACACACACTGATCTGCTGTGACTCCTTCAACCACATTGCAAAAATAAATGCTATATTTCTAGGCTGACCATCTCTGGAGAGATCAGAAAAGGGCCCTGCACAGAAGTCTCCCATCCATCCCGATGGACCTTGAGATTTAACTAACGCAAGGAAGAATGGGTTAAACTGCCAAAAATGGGTGTGCAAAGCCGGTGGCATCATATTGAAAAAGACTTAAGGCTGTAAATGCCACCAAAAGTGGATCAACAAAGGATTAAGCAAAGGCTTATTGACATAAATATTCAGTTTTCTTTAATGTTCTTAATTTAATCGAAAAAGCATTTTCCACATTGTCATAATGAGGTATTGTGTGTAGAACTTTGAATAAAAAGATTAAATTAGTACTATTTGGAATAACTCTAAAACATAACGAAATGAAGCATTTCAGTAATCCACATCGCTCATTTGTTGCATAACAATGTAATGCCCTTTTGGTTCAGGACAGAAGAAGCATCTAGTCTTGGTTTGCAGCCAGATTTCCTTTGACAATACAGGTTAGAGCCCTGTGCTCACCAACTGTACAGCCGACAGATTGTTTTCCCACCCTCATGCTGCCTCCTGACATAACAGCACCCAGAACCTGAGATGATTTTGGCGATATCAAAAACTGCAACTGATTGCTACCTCTTAAACAAAGCAATAAGTTACTAAATAATGAAAAAAAAAGGCAACCACATTTTAAACATTAGTTCCAGTAGCAGCAGATTTTTAACAATAAGCTGAACTGAAACAGTTTCAGGTAAAGGCTACAGCAACATTTAAGTGTTTTTTTTGTAATCATTAGTGAAATGCCCAAAACATATGGAGAAGCGCAGTGTCTTATTGCGGTGATGACATTCCAGTCAAGCTGTTCCCTCTGTCTGTCTGTGTCCTGGTTAATTATCCCGTCACCCCAGATAACAGGCGAGAGTCAGCGCTTCCAGTGTTGATTTACGGCGGCGTGCCGGTAGACGCATCTCGGAGCCTCTGAGTCAGGCTCAGACCAAGCGAGAGAACAAGACAGAGAGAGTTGTTATTAATGAGGTCGCTATAATGTGAATTAATGTGCGAGTGCACAACAGTCTTTAAAGGTTAGACTGTTGCCATGTGGAGGAGAAAAGAGGGAAGGGAAAAAAAATCTTTAAAGGTCAGAGTATGTGCTCTGCCTGGGCCAGCGGAGTGTTTATCACTGTGCTCTATTGATTTAGTAATGATGATGACCAAGGTGAAAATGATGATGATAGCAAAGATGCTGATGATAACTTCATAAAATAAATGGGGTTCATCTACAGTCTATATAACTAGCTTAAGATATTAGAGCACCATAATTAGAATTTGAATAAACACTTCCCACGTATGTCCCCTGTGGTATCCGTTTTGTTAATCACACCAATATAAAGCAGGACAGATCAAAGAATAAAAGCTTTTTGTTTTGTTTTATTATTTTCCTAAAGATAGAGGCTTAGTATGAACAGCACAGAAAACAGCAGCCGTCTCAAGTTGGAGACAGTTTCAAGCCAATTCGAACAGAAATAAAAGACTCACAGGAATTTTCCAGGAGTACTCTGGGCAGGTGACAATCTTCATGAAGCAGCATTCGCAGCAGCAGCTTGGGGCTGCATCCTGGGTCAGAGGTCGAAAGCTTTAACAGGCATGCCAAGGCTGTCTCACCCACAAGGCCATCTCTTAGAGATAGGAGAGATAAAGGGAAAACGTTGACAGTTATGCAGTGTCAGGTGAGTATTCAGATTGAAATGCTATTAGCTAGAGACCATATAAAAGATGAAGGTTCATGAGATGAAAAAAAAACAAGCAAAGACAGAAATCCTGAAACACCGACTGGGAGAATAAACAGCTGGAAAATGACAAAATAGTCATTCTTTTCAGTGCTCTTCTTTGCAAATGTAAACTAGTCAAAAAATGTACTCGCTTGAGATTGCTTATAGCGTGCACAAAAAGGAATTAGTTCTAATCTTGTCCAGCTAAAAGCAAATTAACATTTGGGGGACAGCCAAAGACATGAATATACAGCAATACCCCCCTCCTCTATCTTTTGTAAAACCAAGAGGCTGCAGCCAGCTGTGAGTAATGAGCCATATCCTCGGTGTGTGCGAAAGGTTTCAGTGTGTTCAGAGTCTTTGCCTGTTGTTCTGTGTGCGCGCAAGTATGAGAGCATGCTGACATGTGTGCCTGCATGTTACTTTATACATCTCAATAAAATCTAATGGAAAGAGTGGACATAGTTGGCCTTAAGAGCAAAGAGGCGGGTGGCGGCGCATTGAGGGGGTGTCTGCCCAGAAATTAGCCGTTCCATCTGAGCCGAAAGGCTGGAGAAGTGAGCACCCTGCTGCTTGACTGAAGAAAACTATGCCTCGGTCTGACAGCACAATTTATGATGTCACTGGGGCTGCAAATCCATAAGTAGTCCTCATTTAAGTGCTCTGATAAATCTACAGGGCAGGGTCAGCTTACGGAGTCCGAACACAGAAATGTAAACACGCACAGGCACACAGACAGGATAAGTCAGAGTAGTGCAGAAAAAAAGACACACAACTTAACTTATTTCGTGATTTAAACTTTTTATTTAATTCATGTCAGTGCTTAAAAGGACTGAGGAAAGATTTGGCAGTTAGGATCTAGATGTGGACCTATGATTCTGGCTATGGGCCATCTGTAAGGCTTCTGGCTTCCTCCCATCAAAGCAGTAGGTGGGACTAAAGAAATAAAGAGGCCATAAAAACAAAATAACTTCAGATCCACAATACTTAAGTGGGGATTTGTTTGATTTGTGTTCCGCCAGCATCCACTGACATCACCTCTGGCTACAGGAGAGGCGAGAGCGGTGGAGGGTGGAGATAAATGTGTGCAAGAGTGATTGACTGCACAGCTTACAACAGCAGTCGGACACAAACCTAGACAAATAATGCACCTGTGCAGCTTGTTGATGTCTCTCATGTAAAGATCCCATTACCAACAATGTTACGACTGTGTCAGAGGCGATGTTAGTTTCATCTGCATTATTTCAGTGCAGCAAGTCGGACTTGAAACCCGAGCAGCAGCTTAAGGTGCATCGCAAAGGTATTAATAAATTTATAATATTAATAAAAGTATTAATAACTTATAACAAATTCAAATTTTGTTTGAATTTTATGAGCAATACTAACAAAAATATACCTCATTTGTTACTAATAAAAATTGTCGCATGCAATTCTGCCCTCCATATCTGATTAGTAAAGCATTTAGATCTGCAACACCTGTGGAGTAGATCTCAAAGGATTTGTTCACCTTCAGACAGTAATTTCTTTCCCCATTCTTCTATCCACAATAGCTAAATCTCAATAACTTGAATAGAGAGTGTCCAGTAAAAACAATTTCCAAGTCTTGGCACAGATTCTCAATTTAACATAGCTCTAAGATTTAACTGGACCGTTTAAACACTTCCTCAATCTAACAGCTTTGTCCTAGCCCTGGGTGAGTGCTTCTGCATAAAGGTTATCGCACCAGTCAAACGCCATTTCCATATTCGACTGGGATCGCTTCCAAGATGGTCCTGCATTCAGCTCCCTACATCTTCCTTTAACTCTTTCCGGTTGAGGAAAGAAATCCTCCACCTTGCACTTGTGTGCTAATAGTGTGGGTTTACGGCCGAAATTTTGAGTAAAATAAACTGACGTTTGTGGCTGTAATGTTCCATCTGTCCAAATACCCCTAAGAACATTAACAGGGCCTATGGAAGGATGTGTGATAGAAGGCCTCATGGGGGTTATTTCCATACCTTATGATCTGTTCGGTGAAGAGGTCAGGGTTGATAGCATTGAGCCATCGTACAACAGGCCTTCCAGGCTGGCATGGTGCTGAGTCCTTTGAAGCACCCTTCATAAACGTTCTACAGAAATTAAAATTAAACAGACAAATTACAGTTTCGAAAAACACTTAAATATGTCTATTTATTGGAAGTCAAAAAGCTTTGCTAATGACAGCCTTCATCCCCGGTCCATTATCTATGGGATTAGGTTTACAGACTTTGGTTCCTTTCAGTAAGATTTCACAGACCTAATGTTAACATAGTACTAACCTATGCACAAAGGTTATTGGTGCTGTAACAACTAGGAGGACAGTCAGTAGTTGGTCACACAGGCTGTGGATTTGGTACGGCCAGTCTGAGCCACCTCCAATGATGGTCATTTCTGAAGAAGGGTTGATAAGAATGATGTCTTCTGGATTCTTGGCAACACTCCACAAGAGGTGCTCCACATAGAGCAACACTGCTGTAATATCACACCTTAAAGCAGAAAGAGGCAGAGATGGTGAATGCAAGCATAACAACAGATCAACTCATACATAAGATGGAATATACGAAGGAAAAAATTACATTTTCTTCCATGACACTAGTTCAATGTGAAATAATAGAATCAAATTTTCTTTTGCTCTTGTAAAGTGAGTAGATGCTGAAATTTCTACTGAATGAAGAATGTTACACCATTCTAGTGTTCATAGTTAAAAATCACAGTAACTGTCCCTTAAATGGTCAGAGATTCTGTCCACCATCTGTTATCTTTTTAGAAGAATGCAGTGCTGACCTGATACGGATTAATCAAAGTAACCATGAGTGTTTTAGACACGCCAGACCAGGAGACGCAGCAAAATATCTCTGTTTAGTTGTGCCTCACACCTTCCAACTGTCCTTAATATTTCCACAAAACATAAACCAGACCTCCTGTCAGTAATCTGCTGAATTTAACATTGATCCAGCATTTTTATTGTAGTGAATATTTTCTCATACTTTTCTTACTTTACGTTGCATCCTTTGAGCTATATACATCTGCAACATAAACAACGAACATTTACCAAAGGTACCAACAATGCACTTTGGACAACGCCTCAATCTCACACTTTAGAGTGTAAAGCAGTCAGACAATACATCTGCTCAACTTTTGGCTTCTTCATTTTAGTAAAATTCTGATTTGTTGGTCCCATGTCTAAAGACAAAAGCTGGTGCAAGACCATATTACAAGAACTTCTTTTCAATAGCCTTTTTTAGATGTTATCTTACATAATTGTCTCCGCATTTGCTTTTGACACTCAGTTAAACAGAAACCAAACCCCATTATTTATGAGAACTGGAGGTAGGAGGCAGTGAGGAAGTGTTAGAAGGTTATGAGAGATATTTCCATTAAGAGAACCTGCTAAAAAAAAAAAAAAAAACATATGGCAAAGTAAAACATCAACGTCACTTACATTTCTTATTTTTGCTTTTTATAGTGTCTTACTTTTATTACTATCAGTTACTCTGACCAGGAATATTTTAATTCCTTTTTCCAAACTTGTTTCATACAGGAATATCAGTGCTGAAAATTATTGTCAGCTTCACTGCAAACAGCATCTATCCCTCCATCCATCCATCCTCTCCTGCTTATTCCGTAAGGGTCATGCTGGGGCCTTTGCCTATCTAATGCAGGCTTTGGGCAAAAGGCAGCGTACACCCTTGACAGGTTGCCAGTATGTTGCAGGACAACAACCATACACACAGACCCTCACACCTAGGGGCAATTTAGAGATACAAATTAAACTAACAGTCATGTTTTTGGACTCTTGGAAGAAGCCATAGTACCCAAAGTGAACACATATATGCACTGGAAGAGCATGCAAAGTCCAAGCAGAGGGTCAGGAATCAAACCCAGAACCTTTTTGCTGCATGGCAAAGGGGCTGCCTAATGCACCACTCCGCAGCCAACTGCAAAGCAGCAGTGTGGTTCAAATGTGATGATGGTTCATTAAATAGCTTTTGCATAACCTGCTGTGATTCTGTTGAGACTGGAGTGCTTTAACAAAAGGCGTTGGTATGTTTTGGACAAGACATTAGCTTTAGTCCTGGGAGCAGCTAATCAAGGTTTACCCCATGAGATAAATCAAGAGAAGAATCTACTGCTAAATAAATTTCATACATTTAGTGGAACTCAAGTCTACAGATTCTGCTACCCACTGGAATTTGTACATAATTTAAGAATCTACCCATTTAAATTCAACACACGCTTCAATGCAGTGCCTCTATTTCTGTTGTTGTTTACTGGTTGTTTTGTTTGCGGGCTTATTAATAGTTTTGAAATACCTAATCTGTAGGTGTCTCTTGTAGGAAGCCCGGACCCTGGCATATCGTTGCACCAACAACTGCAAAGTCTCTGTCAGCACAAATCCAAGCACATCCTTGGCCAACTCAGATGGAAGGACTGCCCAAAGGTCGCTACGAAGTCCACACAGGAAGTAAAACCACATCTGCAGTGAGAAGGAACACCGCTCTCCCTGGAAAGGAGGAGGCATATGGGAGGGAGGGGGTTGCAGATTAATATATGTTATGATGTTGACACTGAGGCTGAAAGAGAAATACAGAAAAGATAAATATACAGTAGGAGAGAAACTGAAGGCAGGAGAGGGAAAAAATTGGTCTGCCATCATAAGGATGTCTTAGCTGCAATGCTACTTGAACTCTGAACCTGGTTTTCTACCCCCACTGGGAATATAGGCTGCTTTAAAGTCATGATCACATTGAAAACCCAACACTTACACTCCTGTTTGCATATATGCTCAAACTTACAGAAATATTGAGGGAGATTAGATCAATAAAAAACTGTTAAAGAAAAAAACATGTATGAGAATGGAAAGAAAGGCAAATAAGGACTGGGCAAGATTACTACTCAGGTATGCTGCAGCTTTGTCATAAATGTATTAAAAGATTCCTTCAGCTTTTTACTTATGCTCCCAAAAGCTCAGCATACTGTATTTACCCTCCAGCAATAAACTGATGATGAATGTGGCAGGGCTACTGAGTCATCCAAAACTCCCCAACTACCTCCTGTCTACATATCAATGGCCACTGAAGTCCTTCACAATTCCTTAAATTCTATCTCATCTTCGCATTTCTCTATCTGTATTTTTTTCCTGGTCATTTCAGTATCGATCGTGGCATTGGGGGTATAGTTTTCTAACTGACAGCCATGATGAAACGCAACCCCATGGAAATTTCTACAGTAATTTCCTGAAAAGGTTTTATATATCCCTCCAAAAAATCTGGATCTGGAATATTTTAAGGTTTAAAATCAAAAAGCAAATTCAAATCAATGCAAAATGTAATGATTTTAACAGACGCCTTTCCTAAATGTGAAGAAAGCAGATCTGCAGTTATTTTCAGGGCTGAGCGAGTTTTCCATGCCATTACCTATCTGCTGACGGTGTCGTTAAAACACAACATATAAAGGATTTTACAAATTATGTTGGAAACCATAGTTAAAGTAAATAAAACACAGCCATAACAAAGGATGCTGTATGGTTTATAAATGGTGAGGCCAGTGAAAGGGGATTCTCAGACAGGTTCTTGTGGAATTTGCAAGAGTTATTTTTAAATTTGATTGGAGGGGATTACGATGTAAAGCAAACTGAAGTGAATCGCAAACAAATGGCAGCTGAAAATCTGTGCCATCTGTTCTGCATTTTCGCTTAAAAGCATCCTAGTTGGTTCTTGAGGAGTTGGTCATTTGGGAGAGGCTTGGAGTAGAGCCGCTTCTCCTCCACATCGAGAGGAGTCAGCTCGGACATTTTTTTCTGATTTTTTTTTTTCCCAGGAGTTGATCCAGTCTCGTCCCACCATGAGGAGGCCCGGGGATGATCCAGGACACACTGGAGGACCCGTATCTATGGACTGGCCTGGGAGAGCCTCGGGCTTGGAGGTGTCTTGGGAGAGAGAAGTCTGGGAGTCTCTGCTGAGACTGCTGCCCCACGACCCGGTCATGGACAAAGTTGAATACAACAACGACAACGTTGCATCCAGGAATGGAGTAGAGGGTCCACATTGCTGAAATAATATCTCATGTTTGAATTACCTCCAACTCTTTCGATTATCTGTGTGTTAGTGCATAAATATGTATAGCTATGTATTTGTTACCTTGTGGAGAAAGTGGCCTGTTTCAGAGAAATGCTACTATGTAGGGACCGACATTTGTGTGTACAACCTCCAACCCAAGATGAGTATCGGGTTGGAGGTTAGTTTAAGCGTAGGTATGTGTTCGTAATGGGTAAACTTTGGGTAAGGTTATGAGTTAGGCCATAGAAACAAATGTAAAAATGAATGGAAGCCCAGGCAAACCTAATTGTTTGTCCTGAACTAAGTGTGTTTATGTAGAATATTTCCACTCTATTTCTAACTATTGAGTTTGGCTGTGTTAAATAAATGCAGCAATATACCGGAATTTCAGAGAATGAAGTTGCAGCATCTAAGACATGTGCTTTGCTATAAATACACCTTCTTATTTGTAACTCACTTTTTAAGTTAAGGGGGTAGTTGGCCTAGTGGTTACAGCAGTGGGCTTGTTCTCTGAGAAGTTTGCAAGTACCCAGTTCCATCCCCGCAGCCTCCACTCTAGGTTCCTAAGCAAAACCATACAATAAGGGGATTTAAAATAAAGGGACAATATAAATAAAGGGACAATAAAGGGATTTACTTTTTTCTGTTACCAGTAATTGATAACTATGCAGTATTCTTTTATTTTATTTTTCCTCTCTGAAGGGTATCTCTTTATTTCTTTTACTGTACAGCTACATTTTAAAATTAATAATCTTCTTTTCACGTTTTTTATTTTGTTTGACAACTTTGCTTTTGCCAATATTACACCCAAATGTCATGTCAAATGTCATGTCAAATGTCATTATGGCATAATAAATGCATTTCTATTTTCTGCTTTTCAATAGTAATTATGGTGCTGGTTAAGTGTGTGCTTGTCTTTCCTACCTAAAGTGAAGGTTATGTTGTTTAGAAAATGTTTGACACATAATGTGAAAAAGACAAACAAAAGGACAAACAAATAATATAAGAATTATAACTATCTGGGTATTACAAGTGTAATAATTCTATTAACAACGTGTAACATGGTTTGCTGATGAATGAGCATATCACCTTGAGCTACTTACCAAAAGATGGTGTTAACTTCTTGGCTTTTGCAAACCCACAGTGAACAGAGCAGGCTACAGCAGAGCTGCACACTTACTTACATATGAAGACCTAATTTTAAAACATGTCCTGTGATCTAAAGAAAATAATGGAAATTTTTTGTGCATAAGGACTGTTGTAACATTTGAGAAAAAAATGGGGAGATTTATTATATGCCAGGAAAGAACATCCAAGTTGTAAATTAAGCAGGTGGTGGCATCATGTGGCGAGGCTACCTTGCTGTATTTAGGCAAAAAAAAAAAAACATAAAAACTGAAGACCTGAAAAGGTGTGTAAGGGCTAAGAGGCCAGCAAACCTGACTCAGTTATACCAGTTCTCCCAAAAGGAATTGCTTGCAATCCCCGCACCCAGGAAAAAACAATCAATTGAAACCTATCTGGTTGTCTTCTGCATTTGATCAAATTGAAGTTAGGTTTCATTGTACAACACACAAATTACAGAGAAGAAAAAAGAAAATCCTATTTCCATCATAACTGAATGTGGGTTTGGGAGCTGAGAATAAAATACACTGGAAATTCAAAAGGTTCACCTCTTTATTGTTGAATTAAATCACTATTTGGCTCCAAAAGCTCCACATACAAAACCCCGTCATTAAGGCAGAAGCCAAGGCCATATCCCCCTCTCTTTTTGACCCACTTAAGTGACCTCACACATATGCTGCAGTTTTAGAGTCATATATTAAAATGTTTTATGCCATTAACAATTCACATGACAGTGTGAGTGTATAGGAATAGAAATAAAAATGGAGGCTTGAGACAAGTTTCTCTCAGGCACGAGGAGCCAAAGACAAAAGAGACTGTTGCAGACCCTTTTACATACATTCATCCATACATATGGAGTTGGGGGTGGTTAAACACCTGCACACAGCAGGCCTGTCTGACACCAGTGACCCGTAGAAGGAGGAAGGAACAAAGGGGAGGGAATCCGGATAGAGCAAGAAGGAGAGGCAAGGTTTAGATTGGTTTGAGGCATAAAGGCACTGGAGTTCCAGAGGCCCTCTGCTGTTTCCAGACAGTCCCAGTGTAGAGTGCAGACTTCAGACAGCCAAATCCCTGGAGCCCCCAGGGCAGCATGGAAGCCACAGATGTTCATAGGAAGCTCAGAGTATAACGCTCAGATAGAAGGAAAGTGGGAGGTAAAGGTGCGTTAGGGGAATGAAAGGAAGAAACAGGAAGGCTCTGGAGGATAATTCATAGTTACTAATATCTGCAGAACAGGCACACGGAGAGACATCTAGATATTTACTAATCATACACCTAATGAGGTGCATGTGATTTGGATTCTAAGAGAGGGATTAGTTTTGAATGAAGTGCAACATTTTGTATCAGGGTCTTCCTCAATTTTAAGGTTAATCAAGATAAACAGATGGTAAATCAATGTAAGATTCACCTCATAGAAGGGTTTAGGGTCAGCCCAGTCATGACTCTCTGCATCCTGAAGAATACAGGTGAGGCAAACCTGGATGCAGTAGCTGGTCAGCTGCTCTTTTAAGGCCTCCACTGTTTCATGGTACCTCTGGATTGGGAGCAGAGTCAGCGGTCTTAAAAAAAGAAAAAAAAAGTAACAGTGTATGCTTTATAATGTACAAAGGACATTTGGAAAACAAGCGTATTTATTATTCAGTGATTTGGTATAATGAATAAAATCTAAAATGACAAGATGGCTTAAAAAAACAAAACAATTGTTTCATCCTATACGTTCACAGTGAGATTGATATTTTCCTAAAAATACACTGACAGAGTGATAAGGGGTCTAAAAGGCTAAAGACAGAGAAACAATCATGATGAAATATGGCAGAGGGCAACAGAGAGGACTTTAGAGGGAATCTATAGAGACCACAAGAGACATGAGACACTACAGAAGCTCCCACACAGTTTAAAGAGTCATTGCCAACCAGCGTTAACTAAGCATGCTTACAGGTACAAGTAGGCTTAACTTTTTCGTTATGACTTTCAATTTAGTAGGGTTTTTTTTTTTTAAGATGACTTCTCTGGTGCCATTATAGAGCTCTTTAGTTGGATGACATGATCTGTAAACCTGTGCTGTAAGCTGAGCTACATTTTGCAGAAAAGAGACGCAATATTTTCTCAAGAAGAAGAGAGCTTGTTCACTGCTGTATTTGGGTTTGAAAACTCAAGTCATTCTCTCATTTGTTTAAACTTTATAGAATTCAGAGTTTGATGTGTGAAACATCAAAATGTACCTATTATTTTAAGATTTTTTTTCCTGGAGCTGTTTCTATGGTCACCATGTGGGAGCCCTCTGCAGGCTGGGACTGACATTCCCTGTTGCAGGTGATGCAGAGTCAAGTGCTATAATAATATTTGAACTCTGTACCTTATGCCACTTATTAGAGTTGCTTATCAATGCAGTGTCAATTATTGAACTAGCATCAAAGATTTTTGTCTTTGACCTATGACAGGTGACCTTTTCTTCAGCTAACAGAATTGTGAATTACTAAAAGGGAAAACTAGACTTACAGTGGGTACGGAAAGTATTCACACCCCGTTACATTTTTCACTCTTTGTTTCAATGCAGCCATTTGCTAAAATCAATAAAGTTCATTTTATTTCTCCTTGATGTACGCTAGGCAGCCCAATCTTGACAGAAAAAAACAGAAATGTAGAAATGTATGCGAATTAAGAAATAAAATTGAAAAATCAAATAGTGATAAGTATTCAGACCCTTTGCTGTGACACTCAAATTTTACTCACATGCTGTCCATTTCTTCTGATCCTCCTTGAGATGGTTCTGCTCCATCATTGGAGTCCAGTTGTGGTCAATTAAACTGATTGGACCTGATTAGGAAAGGCACACACCTGTCTATATAAGACCTTAAAGCTCACAGTTTATGTCAGAGCAAATGAGAATCATGAGCTGCCCAAAGAGCTCAGAGACACAATTGTGTCAATGCACAGATCTGGACAAGCTTACAATAGAATTTCTGCAGCATTCAAGGTTCCTAAGAGCACAGTGGCCTCTATAATCCTTAAATGGAAGAAGTTTGGGATGACCTGAACTCTTCCTAGGCCTGGTCGTTCAGTCAAACTGAGCAATTGTGGGAAAAGAGCCTTGGTGAGAGAGGTAAAGAAGTGATTTAAAGGGGTCTGAATACTTTCCATACCTTCTGTAGAAGATAGAATTAACATGTAGTCCAAATTAGCAGACTTTTAAAATTGCAGACTCTACACACAAAAAAAACAGGAATAAAAATATATATTGGCACGATCATTTTCATAAGGGTTGGACAATCACAAGACTTAATATGGTACATTTTAAGCTCCTTTCTGAAGGATTCTGGTCAGATGTTTCAAAAATATTCCAATTTGGAGACTTTCTATTTATAGGGATAAATGGGAACTACATGCAAATCTGGAGTGATTTAAATAAAATATATATTAAAAATAAAACATTTTGCTTTATAATTAGCAGACATTGATAGGGTTTTTCCAGGTTTATATTAATAAAAAACTGATATTTATCTAATGCTGTAAACAAAAATGTTCCACTCTTTTGAATCCACATGTACGATCGTGTGTCTTTAATACTCTTGTGCTCTGGAAAGAATTTGCAGGGTTTTGGAAACGACCTGCAATATAATGGAGAAAGGCATAGTGCATATGGCGGATGTGGCCTAAATACCCCAGCAGCAAGCAATATGCTTTGTACATGTAATTGATAAATAACATAGATGTTGTGAGTGTATTTAAGTGAAATGTGAAAATTTAAACCTGTGAAGGAAAAACTCAGCAGTAATTTAAATTTAAAGCTTATTCCCATTTATTTTAAGAAATTCCCATTGATTCATAGCGAATGCATCTTTCTGGAATCTTGCAATGAGAAGTAATGAGACAAACCATAGCAGTTTATTTCTAACTGTTAATAGACTCTTATGGGCACCCCTGCTTCTTACATTCTAGCTGAAGCTGTACTGGAATCCTTCAGCTTGACATTGTAATGCTCCAGACGCTGTTGCACATAAATGCAGGAAGCAAGCAGAGCAGGCAAGTTCTTCAGGGGTGCAGAGGACGGTACCTCCAGGGCCCTCTCCTGCAAACGTCCCAGCATGGCAAACGCTGCTCTGCTACATGCTTCCACAAAGCTTGATCGCACCCCCAGGAGAGAGGTGTCCCTGCAGGCTACTGCCAGTGGCAGTAAGGCATCGAGCTCAGTCAGAATTGCTCCACAGAACTTTGGAGATAAAAAAGAAAAAGAAGAGACAAAATCAAAACCTTAAGTAACATTCTATAGAACGGAGGAAAAAAAACAAAAAAACATCTGCAATACCATTTATTATATGGCAAAGAAAGAAAAACTTTACTGGGGTAATTTGAATCCTTAATAGGTTTGGGACTAAGATTACTTAAAATGTAGATTTTTCTTCAGCAAAACACTGAACACTGCAAATGCAGAATGCAGCATTTTAAAGACATAAAAATAAATCAGTATGTCAATCTTACTCCAAAAGGAAACGGATCACGGATGACAAAAATACCTATTATAGTAAGAGATTATCCCCCATGGATTATTTTAAAAACACTTCTTGTAAAATCAACAATTTTCCTTCACTGGTTTGAAGCTAGGCTGATTTCAGTCTTCACAATACGCAAATTTGTAACCTTTAAAGGGCTAAAATAGTTTAACTCTCAATTCTAGTGTTTCTATCCACATGGATGAGCCAATGTGCATAAATTATGCTGTATTTTTCTTATTTCAGCAAAGGTATTTACCAAACACTTGTACATGGCATTTGTTTATCTTCATCCACAGATCAATCTGTCTGTCAGGGTCTGTCTGTCTGTCTGGTGTCTGTTAGTTTACCTGCACAGAATACACGTCGCAATAACAGCAGAGAGTTTTATGAGCTCATTTTATTTCTATCTAGCCACAAAAACATGGTGATTGAGCAGAGGTAAGGTCAACTGAGAAATCCTGTAAAAGGGATACTGTTAAATCCTTGGAAAAAAAAAAATTACAGAATAAATCAATCACTCAACTAGTAGCAGCATGCATTGCTTTCTCCCTCAGCTACAGTGCCTTGACTTATTCCAGGAAATAGCTGTGCAGCTTGGCATGCTGCCATATCAGAAGCACAGAATATATGAATACTTTGCAACCTCTCAGTCTTTTCAATGAAATTTCAGAAGAATTTCTTCTACAGAAAACACGACACGTTTAGAAATACTCAGCAAAAGCAAAAATGTTAATCGAAGTACTGGAATCCAATAAGGGCTACTCCGGCAAGATGAAACCAACGCTAACTGTTCAAATGCTTGTTAGGGTCTGTTTGGGCTCTCAGCAGGTTGAAGGACACACAGACACCTGAGGTGAAAGAACAGAAGGTGCAAAGGTGCACAAATTGGAGATAATTAAAGTATATCAGCAGAATAAATAAGGGAAGTTGTTTTTGTATCAATTTGTCTGATAATAAAGCAACTGTACATTCAACATAAAAACTGTCAGTTTTATTGCCAAAGAATATTATCACAGCTTGTTTATTAACATTAAGGTGAGTCTACAAGGAAACGTTGAGCACTGAGGTGTGAAAATATGAATAAGAAAACTGCAAGATATTGATCCAGAATAATTTCTTCTCCAAGCATTGCCTTTTTATGTATCTTCTAGTTCTAGTTTATTGGATGCAAATGCATGCAAGTATAACCTTTGGGCTGGAAGGCTCTCATCTTTGAAGCGTTGACCTACAAATAAATATGTTGTACAGTTCCTGAGCACGGACAAATTCTGACACTAGTTAGGAATCAGGAGACACTACTACACACAATGCAGAAGGATTTAGAAGGACAAAGGTGAAAGGGAGGATGTGTGAGAGTGTAGATGTATGTTTTTGGTAGCAGAGGAACGCAAGTCAGAGAAACTTTAAAGAAGTTTTAGGCTGCGCTCCCTGTTTTGAAACAGGAGAGATGAAGGGAGGCTAAACCGGTAGTTGGGGTAAGCATGTGGCTGTATAGCCCCAAACACGAGATTTTTGGTGGTGTTACTTCTTAAGCCCAGTTTCACATCAATCTCCTGTGTCTGTTACACCCCTTCTTACCTTTCCCAGGCCCTCTCTTCTCATCCTTTCCTCCTTGTATCACTCCTGTATCCTTGCTAATGCTATAGCCCCTTCCCCTTTTGTGATATGCCCTTCCATCATTAGTACACCCTCAGTTTCCCCACACATCATCTAACCCCATAATATAAACCAATTCTTGGTTTTTCCCTGTCTTCCTTTTGTTCCTGGAATCCTCCCCTCCAGTAATACTGATCACTTCTCCCCAGGCCCTTTCTGATCCAGGGCGTCGTCTGTGTCAGGCCCAAACTATTGGAGCTTTCTATTATAGTGGGAGCTTTCTATGGGAGCTACAAAAAGCATTAATCTATCTAGTTCTGGCTGCTGTGTGTAAACCCGTATTGTTCAGTCAGATAGCATTAAAGAAGGATGAAGGGAACAGAGCCTCCTCAGGGAGGCTTTATCCGGAGGTTACTTGTGCACAGCATTAAGTCTTAACCTAGACCTTGGTGCGATTTTCTGTTGAGCAAATCTGACAAGCAAAAACTAGATTTTGTAGAGACAGCCTGATTTAACAAATTACTTGCAAGAAAAATAATCTATAGTCATTTTCTATGAATGGGAGAGGAGACCTCAAATAACCGAAACATGTTCTTACAGAAAAAAATGCAAAGATCAATATGTTTTTAGATGTATGAAATATGTAATATTAGCTAATTCGAATAATTTATAATTCAGTTTTATATATAAACCAACAGAGTAGATTAAAATGGAAAAACAAAAGGATGAGCAGCACAAAAAAAAGTTCTATAAATCAAAAAATACATTTCAATTGCTCCAGCAGAATGTAATGAAACGTGCAAAAGAATGGTTTTATTAGAAATAAAAAATGTGTAACACCTCTGGAAGAATACCTTTGCTATCATTTTAGGAGAGTCTCTTTCTGAGACTTTGTAGAAGAAGTCTTTTTTTAAATGTTCGTTGCTAACGGAGAAGTCAGTGATGAGGCTTAGCTTGATTGAGGTGTGTCCTGAAGAATGTAAGGCCTCTTCTTGTTGAAGATTTTTGGCACAGATGTCGTCCAACACCACTTTAACACAATGCTCCATGTGTGGGACCAGCCTAGTAAAAGCTGACCTCCAGTCAAACTCCAAAGTCTGTGTCTGAAAAGCAGGAAACAAGCCAACAGGAAGCGAAATAATAAAATAGTTGGAATGTAGGAGAAATCTGAAGTGACAAACACATGCAAAAGTCTGACCTCTGCAGTAGGAAGTTTGCCTGAAGTGGGTTTCCTTCCATCTGCAGGTGAACATGAATCCTCATTAGGCTTTTTCAAAATACCTGTATCAAAAAAAGTTAATAAAATAAAGTATTTCACATACACCTTTCTTTGATCAAGTCATTGAATTATATCTGTGAAGTTTTCTAAACCTCCAATATGAGGAATATCCTCATAATTCTCTTGAAAAGGTTAATTACCGTATACTTCTTGGACTAAAGATTTGTTGACTTTACAGCCACATTTATTGTTTATTCTCTTTAATCTGTCTTTTACCTGTGAACTTTGGTTTATTCTACAGTATACTGTAAAACAGAGATTACCAAAAATTTCAGATTCTGAAATGTAAAATTGTACCAGAATCAACTCATGACCCAAACTATTGGTTAAATATACTAACATTTAAAAATATAAATTAACAATTGTTTTATAATAAAACATACAGAACCATCATCCAAAGTAGCCCCCCCCCATTTTGCAGTAGGATTTTAAATTTTTTGCTTTTATATTTTAAGCCAGGGTTTGGGAACAAATAAGAAACAATAAATATTGTGACAGACACCTGATTAATATTAATAGAAAACAAATGTAATTCAATTTTCAACAATTTCACTGAGTGCAGATCCCTAACAGGTGGTATTCTGGGGGAATATAGGAAAATATATAGGAAAATATTTATATCTCAACATCTCAGACTCAAAATAAGCAAGGTTTGCAGTAGGGCTGACCTGTTTCTAAAGGTTAAAAATGATGTTGGAAGTGTTAATTCAACAATTTTAAAGCATCATCAATCTTGTTCTACACCAGCTCGAGTTAAAATAACGCTTTTAAAGGGTTAACAGTTAGCACTGTGAAAGAGGTGGAAAATGCCCAATAGTGTTGATTCAATACTTATTGAGGTTGAATTTAGCTTAGTGTGTCAAAAGTTAACTAATGTCAATACTTATCAAGATTTAGGGATAAAAACAGCTGAGTATCATCAACATAGCAGTGGTAATTAAACCCGTCCTATTTGACACATTGTAGCCACAGCTTCCCTGGGGCATACTGTAACAATCATGGCTGCTTGCAAACAGACGCTATGGTTCCTCAGAACACCATAAACACTTCACCAATACCAGATAAGCTGAGTTCACAGATTGGCATTCTGGGGGGCATTCTGCTATTTGTTTATTTTAAAAGCAATTCTTAACAGAATTGTTTGAATTCAACTCTTTGAATTAACACCAACTTTTTGGAGGAACTAACTCTTGAAAAGTTTAATGTGACTAATGAGTTGAATTAACACCTTACTTTGAACATACAACATCAACACTGACCATTTTACATAAATTTGACTTAACTTTATATGGCTAGGGTTACAGTGTTAATTTGGGCTTTTTTTCTTCCTTGGTCTTATTTCAAATACCTAAACAAAAGACTAATAAATAATTATCTATATTGACTGATAGGAAAGAAGTATTGTAATACATTGTAAGCCATATCACACAGCCCTGATTTAAACTCTTATATATAAATGTAATCTTTTATTTGTTATTTTTCATGTCATTCCCTTGTCTTAGTTTGCACATTAGGTTACTTCTAAACACAGTTAGTTTCAATAGCTCTTAGTGGGAATCAATGTTACAATGGCAAAATACTAGTCCATGCTACATTTTTCAGGTATCTCCAAAACTACCCGATAAATAGAAAATATAATTGTATGCCTTTTAAAACGGCAGTTACTTTTCAAAGAAAAAATGATGAAGTTCCAAAGGTGTGAAGACCTTCAGAGGGACGCTATTGTTCTCCAGAGAGAGTATCACCCAAATGGATTCTTACAATTTTTTTCAACCACTTATTGTTGGGAAACTATATAAAACATTGGTGCCAATCCTTTACTTTTTTATTGATCATCTTTATAAAGCCTTAAGTTGCTGTTGGGCGTGTGGTTATACTGGATTTCTAAAGCAACAGGTGCAAGAGAAAGAATAAATGTGACTGACAACCCCAGGGCAATGCTCCCTGGTTGCTATGTATTTATATTTACAGCCATAACATTCAGAAAGCACATTGAGTTGAGCCCTACTGGTAAAAAAGTGGATTCATTTTACAAACTCTTATCCAGCTTTACTCATTGAAAATTGTGGGATTTATTACAGAAGCCAAAGATACACTGCTGTTGATGTGAAACATTGAATGTTAAGCTGTGAATTTCAGTTTCAGGGGTTCTTAGTGATAAATAAATGTGAAGCCAGCTAGTGGCTACCTGAGAAACTGCCTATTTTAGCTCCACTAAGCTGACTTTTTTTTTTTTCTGTTTGCCCTGAAGGCTGCTCTACTGAGTTTATGACGACCTTTGCCTTAGAGGAAGCTTATAGAAATGTCTTTAGAAGTTCAAATCTGAATTTGGATAGGATTTAACCCCAGATCGTTGCAACAAAGGAAAGGGTAATTCCATGAGAGCTGATTGTGTGGATTTGTATAAAGATGGTAGCTTGTAGAGGAGCTGCGGTGAATAAAAGTGAATAAGATGCTGACTTGGGTTTCAATTAAAAAGCATGAACATCAAGGCCATAGTTTCTTAATCGGAAAGCGAAGTGTAAGACCCCAGGCAAGGCAATTTAGCCGAACAAGAAGGCATGCAGTAGAAAAAGAAGGAAGCGGCAGGCACATCACTTTTTGACCTTTAAGCTCATCTGATGAATTTCTGGTAATTAAGCTGTTTGATTGCCTGGAATTAATGATTTGGATAACTGCCCTTTAAAGGCTGTTTACCTCTCTGTAAATTGAGCCTTTCCGCAAGTCTTGTTTTTGTAAATGTAACCTTTATGGAAATTACTCTACGCACCAAAAACTTTCATTTAACATCTCTGCAGTGGTGGTTCAAAGGGGAAAGAGGAAGAAGCTACTAAAGGCTCATGTAAGACCTTAGATAATACCAAACTAATAAACGCTTCTTTTTCAAACTTTAGGGTAGAAATAGCAAAGAACCATTTGTGTGTGTGTCTAGGGGTGGGGTATGTATAAGTCAATGTGTGTACTTGCATGCATACCATTAGTTTTTTGCATCTTTTTTTACCAAAATATTTTAAATCCTTTCACAAATTGATATTGGATTAAAGGAAGTTCTAATACAAAGATATGGTTCTCTCTCAACCCATTTATTGTCATTTTGACTGCATGTTTAGGCCCATCTTCCCGTTGGCATGGGAAACCCCAGCTCTTAGTCAAGACTTTTGCAGGCTCTAACAGCTTTTATAATATATTTAAGGCCATTTATCTTCCGATCATTCATGACTAGCTTCCCTGTCCCTGAAGGAAAATAACCCCGCAACATGATGCTGCCGCCACCGTGTTTCCCCTCTGGGTTGGCATTTCAAGGGTGTTACACACTGACTATGTGTATTACTTATTTGATTGATGAAGGCATTTGATTGTGATGCATTATATTTAAGGCTATCAGGATAAAGAGGGTCAAATATGAATGCTTGACTCAGTGTTAAAATGTTACTCAGGTCATCCGGATCCGGCCTTTTATCAGTTTGCAGAGTCAGAACCAGACATGGAGGGGCTGCGTTCAGCTTCTATGCTCCACATGTCTGGAACAAACTCCCAGAAAGTCTCAGATTAGCTGAAACACTTAGTTTATTTAAATCCAGGCTGAAGACCCACCTGTTCTCAGCTGCATTTACGTAGATTCTATTCAAAAGCTAAAATTCGCACGTCTCTGTATTCTCTCTTTTTAATCTTAAATGTTTTTAATTTTGAATCACGCTTTTAATTGTTTTTAATTGTTTTCTCTCCCTTTTGCTTATAATGTTTTATGTAAAGCACTTTGAATTGTTCTGTACATGAAATGTGCTATACAAATAAACTTGCCTTGCCTACTAGTACAGAACTTTGGAAACATTCATTACTAATAATAATTGAACTTTACTGATATCACACTGGAGAAATTCACCTCTGCGTTTAACCAAACCTTTGGGGATGGGTTAAATGTGCGGCGCCCTGGGAGCAGTGTGGGGTGTTGCTCTGGGACCCACAGTGGAGTCTGTGGGAATCAAACTGGGTGCTTGCAACCTTCTCAGAGCAAAAGCGCACTGCTCTAACCACTAGGCCATCACGTCCCCACCGCAGTTCACATTCACAATACTCAACAATTTTTGCCGGTCTATTATGTGACATCAAGTAAAATACATTTACCGGAAGATTTAAAGCTGCTATGTGACAAAAGGTATAAAAAGTTCAAGAGTGATAAATTCTACAACTTAGTTGCACCTTTTACAGTAGGAGAGTCTCCAGTGCAGTTTATGAAGATGATGTCAGCGACCAGCTCCCTCACTTCTCTCTCAAAGCCTAGCAGGACTGAAGCCAGCTGGATTAATGCCCTCAGCTGGTGGGAGGTCAAGCTGAAGCTCCTGCTTTTCATGGGAAGCTCCATCGGCGCTGGAAAGGGAATGAAAAGAAATGAGATTGCAGATGTGCTGCAGACATAGAAATGCAGTTTCATTTTCACAAAGGAAAAAAACGTTTTCATACGAATTTGTTTTCCACACAATGTCCTTTGCCAACAGGCACTCGTAAAAAAACACCCCCCACCAGAATTCTCAGCGCATGTGACACAGCTTCTAAATATCGACCCATTCATGTTTTCTCCATACACACTGTAAACAAAGCATGCAGAAAGGAAATTATGCAAAACTTTGCTCCCTGAGAAGTCACACTCGCACAACCTTCCTTCCTAACACAAAACTTTTTTTTCCTCCTCCTAACCCGCCGATGACCCCCTCGGCAAATATGGATTTCCCATTTTGGAGGCTGCCAAAGCCATCACCCGGGGGATGTTCCGCATTAAGCCGGAGAATGGGCGGCTGGGAGATGTGTTGCCATACGCTGAGACACATGCACAAATACTTTTGTGAGTCCGCCTAAATGAGCTCCGCAACTGCAAAGGCATTTGGGAAAGGATGAGCTCAGTATTAGCCTTGACTCTGAAAGCATAGAGTTGATTGAGCGCTGAGATGGAAAGAAGAGGGGAGGGGGGGTTACTTTTTTCCAATAACGGTGACATTATTGCCTTTGGATCTTAATGTAATTTTGCTGTATTGTTAAACAAAACCTGACAATATGACAGCAACATTCTCCCCAAGGATGTCTGGGTTAATCATGCATGAGGTTTTATTCAGAGTGTTGTGTCTGGGCACTTGTGTATGTTTTTTATGAGTATTAATGAGTGTGAGTCAGTGAGTTATGTGTGTTTATTTCTTGGGACTTGCACAAATGCATGTTTATGTGCATGTGATTTGGGTCAATGTGCAACACTTGATTTGTAGATGAGATTTGCACATGTCAGTCTTGTGGGGAAATTGTGCACATTGCAACCAGCCTTTCTGGTCATCATTAAATGGATTCTAACCAAAAGATTGTTTATGAATGTATCAAGATGTAGTTGAGTGCAAGTACGCACAGATGCATGCACGAAAGTGCAGGTGCATGGCTGTGTAATTATATGGGGTGTGTTTGGATGTGTGTGCTTGTATTTGTGTTTGCATGTAATTAAGCTCCACGGGCCTCCAGTTTCTCTGTAATGGGTTCCAGTGGGAGTCTGGGCTAGAGAGACTACCTCCTGCTGCATGTGTGCATGCGTGACCTGGTTGACACCCGGGTGCCAGCCTCGTTCCAAGACTCACGCTTTGCACATACGCACCACCAAGCCTGTCTATTTCTGAAGTCGCCGTCACATCAACAGCTTCTGATGCTCAACGCAGGGGAAAAGTGAAACTGCAGAAGATTCAAGGGAAACCTTATCAACCCGACAGAAGGGGACACATTTGGGAGATACAGCCGGTGGATTCTGTAAAAGCTATCTCTACAGCCCTCCTGCCCCCAATCTCCACCTTTTCCGGGGGTGTTCATCTGAGCACAGCAACTATTACCTTGCACTTCATCTGGAGCATCACCTTTTCCTGGCCTCCCTCTTCTCTCACCATCCATTCTATTCATTCCATCAACCTGTGACCCTACGACAGTTTCACTTCTTCACTAAGTCAATTCTAAATAGTGGCACATGACCTTGGCGTTTAGCAGTGCTGGTCATTGTCTTTCATTGAGGCTCTTTCCAAACAAGCTATATAGGTATTTATAGTCGCCTCCCTAGCCAAATAGGCCTATAGCCATAGAAGTGTAGTACATAGCCATCTAAACCCTATTATACCTTTGTCACAACAGTGAGACCAAATGGAAGCTCCCATAGTCACTTGATGGAGAGGGTGTGCTTAAAAGCACCCAGGTGTGTCATACAGCAAAGTACATCACACGTTTCAGAGCAGAACGAGGAGGGGGCACTGGGAGGGGGAAGAGTTCAACTGAAGGTCAATGGACTGAGAATCAATAAGGGAGGAGCTGTTACCAAGAGCGGGGCAAAAAATCTGTTTATACAAGAGATCTTCTAAACATTATACATTAAAGATATTACAACATTATAGAGGGATACAGAATGAAATACAGAGGGCTGTGTTGCTGTGATTGCTAAGAAATAATGAGCCACAGACAACATAAGGAATTGTCTCAATGTGGGTGTTGCATGGAACAATCAACAAATAGCTAATGGATGAAAAGAAATAAGCTTTAAAGGTGGCCAAGTATAAATTTTAGTTTGCACATTTTAATAATAACAACAGCATTAAATAAAATAAAATTGCCTGTACTTTTGGCAAGCAATCTGTCATTTTTCCTGTCCTGTGGGTTCCACCAGCAAGACAACCACGCAGGAAATCGAGAGAAAAGGGAAAGGAGGAGATCCAGGTGAGAAGAAAAAAGAAAAAGAAAGGGGGTGGTGGTGGCGGCGGTGGTGGTTAGGGATGAAAACATGGGGAAGCGAAGGAGGGGCGGGATAAGGGAATTCCCTTAGCAGTTGTTATTGATTCCGGTGTTTACGGGCGAATAGTTTAGTGCCGTTTACAAAACAGAACAGATGCAGCCAGTGAGCAAAAAGGTAAACAATTGCTGTGTGGCGGGCTGCCAAATCCCCAGTCTGATGTATTAAACTCACGGTGAAGAGCATTTCCCCTTTGGCTGCACTTATTGCCACTTCATTTCCTCTTTGCTTGCATACACACACTCTCTCCTCCTTGCTATCGCTCCTCTTCTCTGCATCGTTCTTTCTTTCTTTCGCACGCTGGTTTAAAGGAGGAATAAAATACAAAAGGAACAAGTATGTTGGATGCTTTTTGCCGTCTGGCTATTTTTCTGTTGTATTCCGACCCAGGAGGCCTGGTACTTCCTAACAGAGCGATTAGTAGGGGGAATTGCATGTGTCTGACATGGCCGAAAACCAATTATTAGACACTTTCTAGCAAATGATGCCCAACTCTTTGGGGAATGAGCAATCATGCAATAATTTAGCCAGTGATTTAATTTCTCTCCAGCTTGACTTGTCTCACACTCTCATCCACTGGCCCTCATTTTACCCCTTTCTTCTGGTATTTTTTTCCTCAGCAGCATAAATGTGAACATCTAAAGGGTTGTTTTCATCTTCCCGTGTAATTGTCCCAACTGGACAACAATATTTTGTCATGATGTGATAACTTGATAAGATTTTTCACCATCAGGCACAACTTCCTCAGCAAATGATGTCAGCAAATTAGCACCATTTTCATTACCTGTGGCAATAGATCACAGTGCTGTACATATAGCAGAAAATCTGTCAGTGTAATTTCTTAATCTGAACACTCCTTATGTGTAAATCAATATCTGATCATTATCATAAATTAGATTGATCAAATTATATTGCACAGAGAACTTAGGACATTTTGAATAGTCATTATGAACAGTATTTAAATTGAATTCAACACCTTCTGTGTTCAAACAAAAGGAATAAAGGCAGCCACTATGTGCTAGCTCTCTGCTATAACTATAAATACTTATAATTATCTTAATATTTTAAGTGATGGTCCATTTACAATTGTCCTGTTGTTAAAGAAACTTTAACAGATTGACAACTGTTTTGGTTCTAATCGTAAGAGCATCTGTCCCTTTCACACTAATGATTGAAATTAAGCCCTGATCTGCTATGCTCTACATACTCGCCTACTCTTCTATCAAATGCCACTGTTTGATATTTTTACTTAAACTTTGCTTTGAAGCATTAAAATCCTTTAAAGGGTTTAATGCATAAGTTTTACCCCCAATTACCTACAGTACATTTTAAAAAATAATGTTCTTCCTGAGCTTTTCCCATTTGATCACATTGAAACCAATATTGTTTTCTAGGAATGTTTTGTAATCCCTAACACAAAACAAAACAGTGCATAAAGATGAAGTGAAAAAAATATTACATATGGTTTAATTGTCTTTTTAATAATCAGAAACATGTGGCATGCGTTTGCTTAAGCAAACTAAATTATTGCTGTTTTTCTTTATGAAAGCCTTTTTTATGTCATTATTCCACAAAGGAATTCTACATGAAGGAAATAATAAAAGCAAATCATTAGTTAATGATGGGGTGGTTTATCCACTGTGCCTGCTCTTTGGTGGTCAGTTGGTGGTAAGTCAGCCACTCAGTCTGAGGCAGCTGTGGCTTCAATGTAGCATCCTACCATCAACATGTTTGTGTCGTGTAAATCATTTTTGCACTACTACAGGCCAATTACATTTAATCAAATACATGATTTCCTGTCTTGCTTTGTCCTTGTTTGGAGTGTCTTTGGTCTTTGTGTGATTTTTTTGTTCACTATTGTTTCTTAAGAGGCCTTCACAGGACAGTTCTATTTATCAATTATACATAGGTGGACTTCAGTAATTAAGTAACTTCTGGATGCAATCAGTTTGCACTTATTTGTTTAGACATCTTAGAATACTAAAAGTAAATGCATGTTACATTTTAAGATTTTTTTTTAATGTTTAAAAAGGATTAAATAAATACAGTTATGCTGGCCTACAACAGTATTGACTAGAATTAATAGAAGCTTATGATTGTATGATCCGATGGCATGGACATTTATTTAGGTAGGGGTATCTGTTTTAAATTGTGCAGAACAAGAAAATACATCACACTTTCCACGTATGCATTTCAAAATCTGTGTATCCTTTTTCTTCTGCATTGTGATCATGCACTGCTTTGTGTTGGTGTGCTGCTCAAATGTCAGTAAAATATACTGAGGTATGTAGATGTGATGTGACTAAATGTGCACAATATTCAAGGGGCAGTGTATTGGCAAACTTATTGGGATTCAAAGACTGGCAGTTGCAAAATTTAAGAAAACATTTCATGAACTTGTACTTGAACACCCAGTTTTTGAGTGTTAAAACCACTTTCCTTGTAATATTTTTACCTCCTGCCCATTAGAATAGGGGGCTTCTAATGAGCCTTGTTCTGTTGGAAAAGCCACCCGTTAAAGGTAGTTGTTCCACCTCACTGTCATCCTGTACTTTGTCATTACGAGGTG